TTAAACTGGGAGAAGGGAATCACACAATATACATCCAAGTCCAGTGATAGACCCAAGACAAGCGTTGGATTCGGCCAATGAAATCACTGGGTGGTAATTAAGTGTTGGGTTACAGGAAATATTTATGCTCCAAACATTATCAGGGCCCGGAAAATGAAGATGTTAGCACAGTGAAATATGCCAACCGGACAACATTATTCTGAAAACATCCAAACCTCAGCAGCTTGCAGGATCCCCAGGCCCATTTGGGAAGCCCAGGGCTAGAGGCTGGGTGGTACTGACACAGGCTGAGCAGACAGCTCAGACAGAGCAGACAGAGCCCAAGGGCCAGTGACACTTTCCAGCTGTCTCCTGGAGTCTTCACACACTCAGTAAGTGGGAACAAAGCTATAGGGAAAGAAACTACAGTGAAAGATGTTGTCAAAATTATTTAATCCGACCTGGGGTATCTACCCCACCTTTGATCATTTAGTTCCTGGATAAGGGAAGCTGCCATGGGTTAGGAGGCAAGAGAACGTGGCCCTGAGGGCTGCCCAATCGGAGTTAAGAGCAGTCCAGATGAAACATAGTAAGTGATAACTCGGGGTTGTCGATAGGGAATAGATTCTAAGAGCACAGAGGGTAGGCAGCTACCCAGCTCTGGTGACGCCAGCACAGAGGGTGGGCGGCTGCCCAGCTCTGGTGACGCTAAAGGGTTATTGTAAACAATGAAAGTTGTATTTTTTTTATCCAGGAACTGAATGATCGAAGGCGATTCATTCTGGATGAAGGAATGAAGGAAGACAAGGCTGAGGCCAGGCAGGCAGTGCATGGGTGTCTGCCTTCTTTTCTGGGAGTCACAGCCTGTGGGCTCCATCCTTTCTGCACTCCCATGCCCCAGGTTCACATCTTGCCTATTACGCCAACAGCTTACTAATTAAATATGAGGCTTGATGTTTGTGTGAAGGAATTAGAGCCTGCTTGATTAATGAATCCAACAAATCAAAGGCGATGGCTTGGGCTCTGTAATCGCGCTGCGTAGGGAACAGGATCTTTTCATTAGTGCTCCCAGCTTTCGGCTCATTATTCAGCCAAAACCTCTTAACCAAATGAGTAAAGGACCATGGGGTCAGGACCACGGAGCCACCCACGAAGCCTTGCTGGCGCACACAGGTGCTCGCCACTTCTCTCCCAGGCTACTCAGAGTAACTGTGACATCCAAAACACAGCGGTACACCTCGGGGTCTCTACCTCCCAGGAAGAGATGGTGCCATCTTCTGGATCAAATGCGGACAGAAAATTCAGTAGCGTGGCCCTGTTGCAGTCTAACCCTGCCGCAGGTGCCTGCCTTGACTCAATCTCCGCCAATTTCAGTGCAAAAGCGATCAACAGGATGGGTGAGGAGAGGATGGGGGAACAAGCAGGCACAAAGACCCCCAGCTGTTCCTGCCAAGGTCTTTCAGTGGAGAATTGTAACTTAACTGAGCTCCGTCTAACTTGTCCTGGGGTGGAGCCGCACCAGGTAAACTGGTCCCCTCCCAGCCTGGAGGATGACTGCCTCTTTGAATTAATCAACAATAGCCCATTTGACCATTTCTTTCTACTGATGCAAACATCCTGCCGGGAGGCTCACGTCCTGCCAGATTGTTTTAGATCCGGCTGATCTAACTTGATTGATGCCCGTGTTGGATCTGAATGTGGGCCTTGAACAATGAGAAAGGAAGAAAGCATGCATTTATGGCAATTTCTCCTTTTCTTAGAACCACGTCAACCAAGGCATTTACATAGCAGCTCCATGCTGCCCAGAAGCAGGTCTGAGACCCTGTCAAGGAGGAGGAGGAAAAAACGGCAAGGAACCTTGGAATGGACAGGAACGGAAGCATTATTGGGGGGGGCGTGCTTCTCTAGGACAGGATTGGAAGGGGGTTCCCCAGGACACGTCTGCCAACAGCTGCCTGGCCCACGGCGTTTCTGCAGTTTCTTTCTACCTCAGGCAGGGGTCTTCTGTGTGGCCTCAGGCCCTCTCAGGCTGGGGCGCCATTCTGGCCAGCCGGGCTTCTTCTCCCAGGAGTTTGAGCAAAGCCTAGGTTCCATGTACCTTCATGTGTAAGAGCGAGAGAGAGTCTGAGTTTTTAGAACGAGCGAAGGCTTTTGTTTTGTTTCTTTGTAAAGATTCTTGGAGGCAGTGATCTCATCCGACTAAATTAAGTCGTGACTAGCTGCTGTGTGAGGCTTCAAGCAGCCAGGAGACACGGCACACTCCACCCAGCAGCAGGGCAGGATTTAAGGGACTCATTTCCCACAGATAAACGGCGGTGACGCACGCTCTATTTTATGTCCTCCTCCGTCCAAACAGGGGCATGGGAAGACGCATGGCCGCTGCCTGCCCTCCTGATCCCCACAGAGCAGCGAGATGCGTATTTCATCTTTGGGCACTGCCAAGAAAAAGGAATCACGAGCTGATCCCCTAGGGAGAGAGGGCTAGCGTCAGTGTTAGGCACGCAGAAAGTGCCTCCTCATCCACGGAGTGACTTGCTGATGTCGCTCTGCTCCTGTCGGAGCTCGGATGCTCACACAGGGGGAAAGTAGATGACACAGTGCATTCAGCAACAGTGGCTCTCCCGCTGGCACGGACTCCTCAACGACCATTCCCGTCCTCCCTTGCTCCGGTTTGCCTTCCGTGCGCCTACTTTCTGTTTGCCTCTTCGATCGGATTGTGTCCGCCTTTTATATCTTGCCAAACTGCTTTCAATCCATTCTCAAAGCAGAACATAAAACAAAGAGACGGCATCACTATCTCCCCACCCCACCCCCCAACTAGATACTGGGGACACGTGGCATCGTAATGAGTGTTCTCGTAGAGATGATAGAACTTTAGGGCTCGATCAATACCCACACTTGGCGGAAGTCCCAGAAAACCAAGGCCGCACAGGGCTTCCCTATAGGAGGTACTCTATCACCGCTGTCATGCGAACCAAGGCCGCACAGGGCTTCCCTACAGGAGGTACACTGTCACCGCTGTCATGCGAACCACTGTGGCCTTCACTGGTCTCCGCAAGAACCCATCCCTAAAACATCACATTCTCAATCCTGTTTAAATGATGGGATTTCCTAAACCCAACAACAGGAGGCAACTAGTAAGAATAAAACTAGTTTAAAGACACACACACACACACACACACACACACATACACACACACATACCTTTTAAACAAGGTAAGTCATGAAAAGCCCATGCTAAAGACCTATAGAAGTTAACTCTGCTCTGAGAGATGCAGAAGCACTGACTAGCTGGTATAGACAGGGCCAGCATCCACGTGGATTGGAACGGATAAGATACCCATTTAAAAACATCACTGAATAAATCAGCTGCATTGTGCCCTGCCCAGAGAAAGGGGCACCCTGACCAGCAGGCATGCCTGTGCCCATCTGCTTGGCAGGAACAGTGTGTTACTATGAGAAATGTGTGGGCATGTCTAATATAGCCACTAAAGCTCATTCCACTGTCAGAGTCTGTGCCCACCACGCAGCCTTCCAAAAGCAACAGGGCTTGCTTGCTTTCCTTAAAGGTTTATCTTTACTTGTGTGTGAGTTTGGGGGGGGGGGGGTTGGGAAGGGGGGTGCAGTGCCTGTGGAGGCCCAGAAGAGGGCATCAGATCCCCTTGAGCTGGGAGTTACCCAATATGGGTGCTGGGAACCAAACGCAGGTCTTCTGGAATAGAAGCAAGTGCTCTTAACCATGTAGCTGTCTCTGCAGCCCTCAGTAATGGGGTTCTCTAACTAGACTGTCCTGAAGTGGGGGAGATGGATCACCCACCCAGAGCATCCTGGTCACCTCAGCGGGAGCATCCTGCTCTGGAAGCTAATGCTTGGAGTTCCCCAGGTAAGCCTCTATGAGTTCTGCCTGTCATCCTGGATCTGTCCTTGTAGAATGGTCGCTGGTGGTGGGGGGTGGATGGCCAAGTCTTTCAGAAAGAATGGAGGTGTGAGGCTGGTGCTGCCTTTCCATGTTCAACTGCAGAAGAGCTCTCTCCAGCTCGGTAAACTTGTCTCTCAGAAACAGCAGGTTTCACAGGTTGCTTTTGGAGAGAATCTCTCTCATTCGGGAGAGTTTTTCTCACAGAGATCATACCAAAAGCATTATAAAAAAAAAAAAAAAAAAAAAAACATGAACAAGACTGGAGAGATGGCTCATGGGTGAAGAATGGGTCCTGCAATTCCAGATAATGAGGTTCTAGAGGACCCAAGGTTGGTTGCCAGCACCATGTCTGGTGGTTCACAATATCCTGCAACCTGAGCTCCAGGGACTCTGACGCCCTCTTGTGGCCTCTGCAGGTACTGTACTCACACAGTGTAGATCCACACAGACACACTTACTACTAAATAACAATGAACCAAAGGGGGAGAGAAAGAAAAACCCAGAAAGCATGGGACTGTGCACCTGGGCTCCAGCAAATGGGGAACAGACGCAGGGGGATTATAAACTCAAGACCACCCAGGACGACACAACAAGTCCTCATCTTAAAACATTCACAAAATAAAATAAAGACATAAAATGGAATCTATGCCTTAAAAGAAACAGGAACACAAACAAGACCAAGCAGGAACAATGTGAAACAGGAACAAAACGAAACCAAGTCCCAGGAAAGGGTCTTGGAAATAGATGATCGTGGGACAGAAATGATTATCTTCTGACTGTTAAAAACCTAAGTAGAAGACCCAAGTACACAGACTGTGGCTGAAAAGGAACCTTACATGTAACAATGACTGCTTTACAAAGAGGAACAACAGGTAAATACAGGAGGGATTTTTCAAGTGCACGGGAGGGAGGATCTTCCCGGATGAGCTAGTGTATCAGTTCCAACAAAGGAGAAGCCTATCTACACAGGCTACTTTTCCACCCACCATCCGCACCAGGGATGTTTTTCCCCCTTTCTCCTGACATCTCTAAGAGTAAACACTTGGCGCCTAGTCTCATTCCAGCTAAGACCTGAACCTGCCGGAGAGGCACGCAGACTCACCGTGAGCGCCTGGATCTCCTCCTCGGCTTCTGCGGTCGTCTCCTCCAGCTCTGTCTTCGCCTGGCGGAGCTGGCTCTCCAGGGCTGCCCGGGCGGCCTGCAGGGCCGTCAGCTGCGACTCGCGCTCCTGCAGGGACAGCTGCAGCTCCGTGAGCTGCCGCTTCAGCTCCAGCTTCTGCTCCTCGTGCTCCAAGCTGACCTGTGGAGGGGTTACACGCTCAGTAGACTGTAGAGAGAGGCGGTGAAGACACAGCCTGCCGCAAAGCCATGGGTTCATTCAGCCACAGACTGAAAGTATTCAGAGAGACTGTGGCTGTGTTGACCATGCCTGCACACAGACAGGAATGTCATCCTCCCCTGGACAGGACAGTGTCTGCTGTGTCTTTGTTTTGCTTTTTTCTTTTTGTTTTTTCTAGACAGGGTTTCTCTGTGTAGCCCAGGCTATCCTGGAACTTGCTCTGTAGACTAGACCTGCTTCTGCCTCCTGAGTGCTGGGACTAAAGGCCTGCCCCCACTACCACCCCGCCGGTGTAGCTTCTCGAGAATAGTTGCAGAGCAGTGGTGTCCTCTGTGGCCTGTAACACAGTGACACATAGAGGTTCTATGCAAATGCTTCCCTCTCTTCCCAAAGGCATTTGGGCAGCTGCAGGTTTGGGGAGCAGTGAGCGGAGTCCTGGGGCCCAAGCCCGACTGACCATTCCTTACTCAGATGCTTAGGAAGGCTTCCAAAGGAAGACAGACAGAGAGACAGACAGACAAGGGAGTCTCGGATGAAGCCCTAATGAATCATCTGGATGAGAAGAACATTTAAAGGTAACTGGATAGAAATAACATCTATTAGTAACAAAGACACCTTCATAGTCAGAACACAAATGCCACAAGGGGCTGGATTCTGTTTCTTCTAGACATTCTCATGCTGATTTATTCCCATTAGGTAGCCGGCAATAATGTCATGTTTTGAGGTACGCACCCTTCCCTCCATCTGCCCGAACATCTATCCTTCTACTTGATGGTTTATGCATTCATTTAAGGGAAATTAATGGGTGATGTCTGCACAGAGGAGGATACGGAGAGGAAAGACAGCCTGTGCCTTCGAGCTGAGGACGCAGACGACAGTTGCTGTCTGCAGTCAAGTGTGACGGTCGGGACACGGAAGGCTGCTGGAGAAGCAGCAGAGGTCCAGCAGCTGACTCCTGCCGAGGGCCCGAGCTCAGTTCCCTGCACCCACACCAGGCCGCTCACCATCACCTGTAACTCCAGCTCCCTGTGAGCTGACGTCCTCCACTGGCCTTGGGGGGGGGGGGGGGGCACAGACCAACACAAAGTGCACCAAGCTTCCCTGGGGACACAGAGGGCCCGGAAGAGGTCCCCGGGCAGGCAGGGCAAGCTCAGCGAGATGGAGGGAGATGGCGTTAGACAGAAGGGCAAAGCAAGAGACTTTAGTTCCAGGAGATCTGACGCCCTCTTCTGGCCTTTGCAGGCACTGCACATGCATGATACACATACAAACATAAACATGAAAAAATCATAAAGTAACAATGGACAAGAGGCAAGTCAAATGGTGAAAGGGCTGGAGACAGAACACAGGATTTTGCGTGAACCTAGCATGCAAAGGGCCCAGGTCAAGTTCGATGGAGATGTTTTTCAGTCAGGGAAAGTGAGGCGTCCAAGAGGGGCCAAAATGAGCAAGACCAGAAGAGGGACGAAGGCATCCCAGGACCATGCCAAACAAGTAAGTGACGCTTGCTGTCCTCACAGGCAGGGCTACCTACAGGAGCTGACAATCGCGGGATACGGGGACCACATCCAGCAGAGAAGGAACTTCAGAAAAGGCAACATCCCAATCTCAGCTCACCAGAGCAAAGTGAAAAGGGAATTGCAAGAGGTTTGAAACAATACTTGTGGCTAATTTGAACAGGGCAGGAGGGAACAAGGGACAGAGGAGAGTGACATGTCTGTGGTATTTCCAGATGGGCCTCCCAGGGAGCAAGGTCAGTGAGAAGAGCCGGTGTGACAGGGAAAGACAGGCGATTCGGCTGAACTTCACCCCCACAGGAGACACTCCAGTGTGGAGGTCTACAGTCTTCTGTAACAACGGCTCAGAGATTCAAGAGAAAGGCCCTGGTGCCCATCTAGACCCGGCAGTCCTTAACATTCGAGTGAGAGCTAACGCAGGAGGCCAAGATCCTCGAGTGACAGGAACCCTGACAGTGTGACCGCAGAAAACACTGTTTAACGGTACCAGCGCCGCTCAAGGCGGCTCCCCGAGGACCTGAAGAGCGGGGAGTCACTGTTACCTCCGCTCTACAGATGAGCAAACCACACCTCGAGGAGATCAGGCAATTATGCAAATGTTACACAGCTTTAAAAAAAAAAACCCACTAAATAAAAATATGGCAGGGCTGGCATTCGAACCCAGGAAGTATGGTGGGAGTTGGTGTTTGCAAACATGACGTCTTACTGTTTGTCTCATTAAAATGCCAGCTGTCAGAGCAGGCTGGGACTCTACCAACAAGCCCAAAAATTCCCAGGATGTCCTTTGGCAAAACCAGGAGGCACGGGTGAGAGGGAGTCAGGGAGGAATCAGGTAGCTGGACGCTGGGCACTTAGCGTAAGTACTCAGAAGCTCCGGAGGGGAGGTGGGGGCATAGAAAGAGCTGCCACTGTACACAGAGGCTACGAGGAGCTCGGGGCCCTTTAAGGCAGAGCAGACTTGAGGTTGAGGCCTCTATCCCGAGTCTCAGTACCAGCATGTCACCCAGAGAAGACAGACTGGCCTTGTTCTATTTGGAGCTAAACTCTAAAACTCCCAGGGAGAGAACACAGAGCCCTGAGCCTCTTATGAAACATTTTAAGTTTCTCCTACCATCCTCGGGGTGGGGGAAAGTGGTGACCCATTCAAGAAAGAACCACTGCCAGCAAGCTTCCCCAAGGACTCTGGTGTCCCAGGTGAGCTACTCCATGGCACAGGCTCAGTAAGACGGACAGACAGACCGACTGATAGACAGATGTGGAAAGGAGAGACAAAGACAGCTGCCAAGCCCAGGCCGAGAGCAGAGTATCTATCTGGGTTATCTGCACCACACTCTTAAGGATGACTTTTCTGTGAAGAATGGAGTATAGCCTGGATGATTCATGTGAGACCAATTCCCGCACTCCAAGGAGGACCTCAGTTGTATAGACCACTTGCTTAAAAATCAAGGGAAGGAAGGAAACTTTAAAAACTAACTACAAATTCCTCTTCTGAATTCCATTTTAAAAAGCAATTGAGCCATGCTCCATGGCTCATGAGTACGGTACCCAGTACCCCTCAGGAGGCTGAGACAGGATTGTCTCTGTCTCAGAGAACTTGCAATAAAAAGCTGATGCCTGGGATCACCTTATAAGAAGCTCTGGGTGATGCTAATGGAGGGACCCAGACCTTGGCAGCCCCCAGAAAGGGAATTATGTTGTCTTTGGAGCTCGACTCTGTAGCTGTGAGTATCTCTTCTCCACTGCAGTCTCTTCCTTAGGAAAGAGAATATGCTCTTCTGCAAACCCCATCATAACTACGTGTGTCTGCTCTGCACGAGACACTATCCTCCTGCCTGCCTGGGCATCTGACTTGGAAGAATGGCTTTCCAGTCCTGCTGGCTTGGGGTCAGCTCGCTGGATACGCCCCTGAGGTCAGAAACACTCATCTGGCATTAGCACGGTAAACCCTGGCTAACTAACTGGCACACAGTAGGTACTTAACAAATCCACAACGGGCAGCTGCAGCTAACTTCCTGGCTTTGATGAAACTCAGCACTGTCCCCAGCCTTGCTGTGTCCTCTGAAAAGCATGGCCTTGCCCGGTTTCCCTCTGTCAGGCAAAGGGAAGCCTGGTTGTCTTTGAATCTGCCGTCGTTAGGACACCTCTGCCTCAGTTGTAGGTCTGTAGCCAGCCTCCTGCCTGTACTGTACATATACTGGTCCTCAAAAGTCCTGCTGGAGTGAGAGCTAACTGCTTAACCACTGTCAGACAGATGCATCAACCTGCACAACCCCCCCACATGACCTTAAAAGAGAGAAGCATCACCACGGACACTTCACAGATGAGAAGACTGAAGCACGGACTTATTAGTTGTAAACAGAAAACTACAGGGCCAGCAAGAAGGCTCAACAGGTTAAAGGGCTTGCGGCAAAGCCTGAACAAGCCGAGTTTGATCCCCAGAGCCTAAGAGGTAGGAGAAAACCAAACTCCCAAAAGTTGTCCTCTGACTGCCACAGGCGTGCTGTGGCATGTGTAAACGTGTGCACACATACAATACTATTTTCTCAACTGGTAATAGAGGTGAATTCAAACTTGAAGCCATATGGCCTAGTCTCTATTCTTAGTCACCATGTACAAGGCCTCAGCTGTGTGCTTACCCTTGGAAGCTGGCTGGCTCCGGGACCAGATGCCCTCGGCCAAACCTCTCCAGGGACCAGCCCTCATCCTCACCTCCCTCAGCCTCGTCTCCAGCTCCAGCAGCCGACTCTTGTCACTGTGATCTTGGTGGCTAATCTTCTCCAGCTGCTCTTCCAGCTTTCGGTTCTGGGCCTCTAGCTTCCCAGCCTGTGTCTCCAGGTAAAATTTCTGCTGCCTGAGTTCTGAAATCATCTCTTCCTGGGCCTTCCTGGTAGGGGTGGGGTGGGGGCATCCAAAGAGAATTAACAGAGGTAAACATGTCTCCCTGGGATAACAGACAGAGACAGAGTGAGAAGGTTCATCTTCAGTGAGTGGGCTGTAGGCACGCCAAGGTTAGCCCCGCCCTGATGCAGGCTCATCAGTGTGAGGAGCCTGGCAGCCTTTCAGTCATCCGTGCTTTGAGTCCCTCGCCTGCTGGATTAAGTAAGGTCAAGCCACAGATGCTGCGTGTCACGCCCTCGGCAGACCTTTTCGTTTTTCTCTTTTGAGCCTGTTTACAGAGAAGCAAGAGGACTCCTTTGAGGAGAGGTGTCCTCCTCAGTTTGTAACCCACGCTTTGTGAAAGACACTGCCGTCCAGAAAAAGAATCTTGCTCTTTCCAGAGCCCTGTGGGGGCTCTCTCATTCAACCAACTGCAACAAGTATCAAAACCTAGACCTCACAGCATCTCATCCTTCTGGCTCATGTTAAGATGGGAAAGTTTTCACAGATCTCTAAAGGGATAAACATTCCTGAGGAATGGAATCCTTCTGGCAGGAAGACTGGGACCAGAGCACCCATGAACCTGGCCATCCTTGTATAGCCCCCAGCAGCGGAATGCACAGCTGAAAGCTGAGTGCACAGGAGGATGTCCCCGCCTGCTGACTAAAAGCAAGTCAGGATGAGGAAGAGGGACAGCAGTCTCCCCAAACCAAACTATGACCAGCCTCACTAGAATCAGCAAACCTCTGCGGTCCGGTAGGGGCTTGAGGTACTCAGGAGTACTCTGCGGTCCGGTAGGGGCTTGAGGTACTCAGGAGTACTCTGCGGTCCGGTAGGGGCTTGAGGTACTCAGGAGTACCGGACTCAAAGCGAGGCTTCAGAGGATCGAGACCCTTCAGAGGACAGTAACACTACACAAGTGTGCCCAGGAAGGCTGAGCCGATGTGTGCACGTGACTGAACCAGTTGGGAGTTCCATCGGACAAAAGAACAGACTTTCTGTGCCAGCAGAGACGGCCAGGCATGGGAAGCACGCTTACATGTTCCTCTGGGTGAAGAGACTGCTGTTTGCCGCAAGCTTGTTGGCTTCTGACAGCTCCACAATCCTCTGCTCCAGGGATCGGATCTTGGAGTCCATTGCGTTGATCATCTGAAACACAGGAGACACCGCGCACGTCAGTGGTCACGTGAGAGAGGGGCTAAAGTGGGCCTTGGGAGCCGAACTCAAAATCTCCTTAGAAACCCACAGGTTGGCCAGAGGCAATGAGAGGTGTCGCAGGTGTCACTGTCCAGCGGATGGTATTCAGCTGTTTTCCCAACTGAAACCAGGGTCTTCTCACTAAGTGGCCTGTGTCAAAAAAATGCACAGCAGGGCCTGTGTGGGAGGCCGCCATCCTACACAGAAGCAGGCCTGTCTACATCCCAGAGTCCTCTGTATATGACCTGGGCCTTCAGGAGCATCTGACCTGAACATACAGGGACATATGTAACATATTGCACTAGATGTGCCTTTTCCTAACTTATTAAACAGCAGGAGTTGAGGGTGGAGGAGGGTGGATGCAGGCAGGACCCTCCCTCAGAGAGACTGGAGGACGAGGGCGGCAAACCCAGTGTCCTTATGCATGCAAGCACCGAACTACACGCCCAGTCCTTCCTTCCCTTGGGAATTCTGGGGTGGAGAGCCCCAGTGGGGGTCTGGAACAATACAGATTTGCAAGTATCACAGACCAGTCCCATGCCCAGAAAGTTTACATTGGATGGGAGAGAGACTAGAAAATTAAAAAAAAAAAAGAGAGCGCTGTGGGAGACTGAGGGCCACTGGGCACTGTCCAGAGGCGCTCAGAAAGACCACACAGCAGCAGACAGCCATTCACATTCAGGAATCCGCCACCGTTCTTTTGGGACAAGAAGCTGTTTCCGAGAAAGCTTCCTGGTACCTAGAAACCTTGTAGGATATCATGGAGAGAGCATGTTACCAGATCAAACGGGGTGACTCTTGGCCTCACCCATAACCCCTCCCTGGGAAGTTGGCGTGTAAGTCTTGACACCCACCGCCTTCTGCTCGCTGAGGATCTTGCCCTTCTCGTGGGCCTCCTCTTCATGTCTCTGCATCATGGTCTCCAGACTCTCCTTGTCCGCCAGGTCCTTCTTTATCTGATTGTCCAACACCTACAGAGATATAAGATGTAAATATCCCAGGAAGCTAAGCTGGGGGAGCGGGAGGAGAGGAGGAGAGGCAGCAGAGGACCAGGTAGCCAGACTCCAAGGGAAGGTGAAACAGCGTCTATTCACCAAGAAGATGAGCCGGCATGAGCGAGGTGCCAAAGGACAAAAATTAGGTGACCATGAATGAGGGGCCTACTGTAAAGTCAGCAGCTCCAAAGACGAGTGTGTGTGCACACAAGGGAAGGAGGGGGGAGAGGGAGGGGGAAGATAGAGAGGGAGGGGGAGAGAGAGTGTATGGTCACCACCTAGTCCTGTAGAGCGAAGCGCCTAGCATTTGAAAACGTTACATTACCTGGGGGTATTTTTCTTAGCCAATACACCAGTAGTTTTCGGAACATGCCTTGCTCCTAATTTGTATAAAGTGACTTCTGGAGCCTCCCAAGCCATGCATCTCAGAATGAGAGGAGCTGAAGGGCCAGGGGAAGTCTGGGGGACTGAGGCTGATGTTCTGACACAGCCAGGGATAAGAAGCTGTTGCCCGGCAGTATGTGGGTGGGGAAGAGAATATAAAAGAGGGGGGGGGAAAGATGGTTCTTTTCCTCTGATGTCACCAGGATGAAAAGTCCCTGGAGAAAGACACTGTTCCCAGGGCTCACACTGCTACCTCGTGAGCACCTGCTATTCCTAAAGAGGAAAAACAACATGGTAATGGTGTCACCAAATACCAGCTTGGTCTAATGCTCTACGAGGCACTTGGCCCAACCAATCACTAAAACCCCGAGGGACAGAGAGGAAAGAAGATATTGAAGTCCCCCGAGCCTTTGACCAAGTAAGACCCTATGTTCCTCGTCTCAAAGAACTCGTTTTGCCTTTGCGACCGACACCCACTGCCATCAAGAACAACAAGCAAGAGGAGCCTGGGAATGCAGCCGGCCAGAATCCGGGTCACAGACAGATCTGAAGTATGCCTTTCCCAAAACGTCTATTGTGAAGGGCCCTTTACAGCTTCTCAGGACATCTCTCTCAAAAAAAGAGCCAGTCAGCAGGGAAGGGGCCCACAGGAGAAAGGAAAGAACACATTTCAAAGAAGGCTTTCAACTAGAATTGACTGGTTGGGGGAAGAGGGAACGTTTGTGGAGACCGGAAGGTTGCGAGCTGGGTCATGAAGAGCGGAGTGCTCAGTGGGATGATGCAGTGACCGCTCTGTTGGATTTCTGAGAGTGGTTCTAAAATTACAAGCAAGAACACAGTGGATCCAGGGTACAGCCAGAGCTATGACAGAGACAGCCTTAGACAAGCTGGAACCAGAACACAATGCGGCAAGGTTAACAAGCAGACGCCTGTGTGGATCCCAGGAGAGGAGGCAGAAGGAAAACAGCTTTTTCTGAGTATTCCCCAGGGGTCTAGAACGTAAAGTTCTGTCTAGCCAGAGGGACAGAGACTACATAACACATGCACAGCCCAGTCTGGTGGGGGGGGCTCCTTTTCTTCAGGGAGCTAAGGCAAAGGAGGCGTGGTCAAGATGGCTGTTCTAAATCAGACCCTGACCTCGGCACTGATGGATCTCAATAAGAGCTGCATGTGGACCTGAAGGGTCAAGCCTCCACAGAGAATGGAAGGATCTCGGCTTTGACGGGGTCCGACTAGCAGGAAGATAGATGATCACAAAGACAGGGGGTGGGGCAGGGGTTAGATATGTAAGACAGAACATGCCTTTTAACCAGCACTTGGGTCTCCTCTTACAAACAGCACAGTAGATTCCACAGGCGAGACTGTCATCACCTACCATACAAAGTCTCACTCCAGACATTAAAGTCTGGAAGCCAGTACAAATCCCAGACTACAGTGTCTGGTTAGGGGAGCAATCACATAGGATACAATGACCAAAGCCATGCGCAGGGAGTGAGGCTCAGGTCTCAGGAGGTGGAGGTGGGGAGGGCTGACAAAAGTAGTAGAATATTTCAGACCAAAAACCCAAGAAGAGGCACACTAAGAAAGATACAAAGCTGTTTCTAACTGGAGGCATTTTCTGAACCCAACCAACTTAAGCTTCCGGCTCTGAGCCTTTAAAGCCTCTCAAGAAGGTGAAAGTTCCCATTAATGATATTCCAGAAAAAACGGGCGGCCTGACACATAGACGAAAGGGAACAGAGATCATGAGAGAGAAAGAGAGAGGGGTGAAAATCCAATCTTCAAAAACACCAATTATCAGACAGCTATGCCTACTGCAGGCCTGAAGATAAATACGTAGAATTGAAAAATCATCTTCCATAACTTAGTAAGCTTGAGAATGAAACAGAGTTATCTTCCCAGAAATGAAACAAATCCCTGACATTGAAACCTCAGTAGGTTGGCTGGTCAGCAGTTTAGACACAGTTGAGAGAGGGTTAAGCGAAGTGGAAAGCAAGGCAGTAGGTATAGCACAGAGAGATGAAGAAAAGGAGACCATGGAAGACCGTGGATTCCAGGAGACCTGGCATTCTATTCACGGGCTCAAAATAGCAAAAAAACACAAAAGATGGAGAAATGATACTTGAAATATACTGAACACTAATTTCCTGGATAGAGGGAAACGTGCCGAGATATTCCACATTTCATAAACTTCAAGCGGGGATAAATTAAAAGAAATCGGCATCCCAACAGCTCAGGGAAAGACTTAGAATTAGGCAGAGGAAATACTAAGGGAGAGGGGGGAAGAGGGAAGCTTAGGTTCATTGACAAGATGGTAATAGTAAGACTTACACATGACTTCAGAATAAAAGTCTAAGACTTACAATGGCTTCAAAATGAAAGTCAAAGGAGAGTGGGGTGGACAGCCACAGAGCACTGGAACAGTCAGTGGAAGACGAGGTGTCCCTAAGGTGAGGTTGGTGTGTGTGTGTGTGTGTGTGTGTGTGTGTGTGTGTCACAGGCAGCACAGATGGAACTTGAAGGAGGTAGGGGTAGGAGTAGGACAGAGGGAGCTGGAGGAAGCAAGGGTGAAAATGACCAGAATGTATTGCACAATTATACACATGTATCAAATTCTCAGGTAATAATGTTTTAAAAAGAAAGTATGGGGGTAGACATTATTACACACAACAAATAAAATGCACATTCAAAAAGAAATACATAACACAAGATCAGGAGGAAGACTCTCCGAGAGGGAGAGGAAAACCAGCGAGGGACAGACATGAGAGGCGGTGACAGAAATGTAAAAGACAGATGTATAAAAAAATATCAGAATGGATGTCAGTATTTCATACCATAAAATTCATGTCATTTCTAAAAACAGAGCCGGGCAGATAGCTCAGCGGTTAAGAAAGAGTGCCGGTTGCTCTTGGGGAAGACCTGAGGTGGGTTCCCAGCACCCACATCAGCTCACAATCACCTGTAACTGGAGCTCCAGGGGATTCAGCGCCCTCTTCTGGCCTCCTTGGGCTCTGCACTCACATGCACATGCCAAACTCACATACACACACGCGTATGTAAGTAGAAACTTCAAAAAACTTAAAAATGAGGAGAAAACAAACACATTTTCAAAACAACCTCAGATCCTCACAACATTAAGTTCCTAAGGATGGACTTTAAACAAAAGGAAGGAATACCTGACCAACTCAGAGATGCAGGAAGAAAACGAAAAGCCAAGAATGTGCAGTGTGGTAAGCACTGCCAAATCTAAACCAATCATGGCCCGAATCACAGTGGGTTAAACACGAATGACCAAAGACAGAACCGCAACATAGACTGAGGAACAGTTTAAGCTCCCGACTCACTAATCTTGCATCGTGCAGGGAGGGCGGCCCCCACCCTGGTCTGCCCTTTGCTGTAGCACATGCAGAGCCCGGATGCCCCCCCCCCAATGAGAACGACGAGGTCATTTACTTTGATCTTTTCCTCGTAGTGCTGTTCCTTCTGCTTCAAGTGTACTTCTAGGTGTTGAGCTGAGACCTGAGCCTCTCGATGTTTCTCCTCCAGCTCCTGGACACAAAAGAGCAGTCAGTCAGGTGTGCTCAGGGGAGGGGGTCAAGCACGCAGGCACGAGACACTCACAGGGACCATGACTGCCACAGGCACTGCAGGCGGGTAGCCGCTGCTCCTGCAACACTAGACTAAGGCTCTTGGGAAGGGAAGTAGCGCCACCATGTGGCCCTGGCTCTCCCAACTCCAAGGACACACACACACACCCAAACACACACAGCCAGTGGGCTGTGAGACTGGGATCAGAGATGCGTTGGTGTGACAGGTCAAAACAGGCAGCGGCTCGACTTTACACAGAGAAGTAAAGGTAACAAGATGGCATTAGGTTCAGCATGGCACAAGGACCCTGGCCACTGTCTTAAGCCTCAGCCTTAGAGAAGAGAAGGGCTCTGATTTATTACGGAGATAAACAGTACTGGGGGCTTCCTTGTTCTTTATGCATCACTCAAGAACCCTTGCCAAAAAGGAAAGCAATTACAATTAGCAAGTATGAAAATAACCCTGGCGTTTTGAGATATTATTGAAAATGACGGGAACGTGGAAATATGAACACTGGACCTGGCACGTGACTCAGTGTTTATGCAAAGCGGTGCCAATGGGCACATGGGCAGTGACCACGACATCGCCTGGGTACAGCGTGAGGAGGAGAGAGACTGGGGTTGCATGAACAGCTCGAGCCTAAGGCTCTCTTGCTTCTTCTACTGCTTTCCGTCTTTAAACAAAACTGTGATTCATTTGAAAACTACACCAAGTCATTTGCCCGCGTGTTATAAAGTGGCCCTTTACCAAAGGCGGCAATCCAATTCACTGTAGGCACACTAATCACAGACACGGTTACACCAAACCAGGAATCTGGGCCCATTTGGTTAATTACTGACACCAGAGGTCATAGGAGGTCGATATCACCAAGTTCTCGTCTCTTCACAGTGACGGAGAACTCTGAAGAATGAGGAAATTGGGATACATCCACAAAACAGAAGGTGGGGGCGGTGGGTGGGGAGCTTCTGAGAGTCACATGCACACAAAAAATGAGAGAGACTGAAGCTTTGGAAACCTGCAGTTCTGTAGGCTCAGGCTCGGCCGTTAAAATGTTCGGTCTCAAAACCAGGTGCGCAAACCCGCTGCAATCCACCAGCTGTGCGCCCGGGAAATTGGACATAAGCAAGAGTCTAATTAATAAAAACATTTTATGGGCTTTGAGCACGTTCACTAAAGGACCCGAGGCAAAGACGCCTCTGATTGATTGATGGCCCCAATAACGCATTTTGAAATTTCTTATTGGAAGAACAAGCATGTTTGGGACCTGCTTGCCAGCGTCACTGTTCCAGACAGTGTGAAGGACCATTCCTGGCCTATGTTCCGCACACTGTGCAGCCTGAGCACAGGGTTCTTGAGTAAGAGGCACATTCCATTAAAAATGAGGGCACAGCCAGTCATGCAGAGGCACTTAGGCAGGTGACAAGGTACGTTCAGATCAAGAAATTTTGCTTTTCTGGTTGGTTACAAATCACCCGCTAATCATCTCCTCTCGGGTGCAGCCCCCATTAGGCAGCGCAGAAATGGGGGCAGAAATCTATGGACTGGCTAAAGGGAAAGATCCACCACTCAGACAACTGAGCCTGACCACTCTATGGATAGTATCTACAACGCAGGGCCCAGTCACTCACTCACGCCTCACTATGGGGTGGTTTTGTCTTTGTTGTTGTTGTTATTTTTTTTAATGTGCTTTTTCTATATGTATCAGAGCAGCTCTTCCTGATCACTGCTACATTTCCAGCTCCGGGAACAGGACCTGGCGCATAGTAGAAGCTCATTAAATATTTGTTGAATGAATGAATGAACACGTCACCATTAGGTAGGGAAACGCTCTGGAACCAGAGAGAGTTAAAGCCTTTGGTTAACTCCTGTTAACTGGGTAGAGGGTAACAGTGGCAGGGTCTGTCTTGACTCACAGTAAAACTCACATGCTTGACAACAACTGGAGGAGATTTTGAAGACAGAACAAGAGATCAGAAAAGAATAGACAACCACATTTGTCTCTGTGTGTGGACACACACACATACGCACATAAATATAAAGACTGGATGGCAAAGGGAAACAGTTTAACCGATTCCTCTCCTATGCATTTGCTCAAGAACAGCCTTAACATCTGTGAATACACACAGTCAGCTATGAGGTGGAATACTGTGCAAACCTGTCAGTCAGCCATCCTCGAGGTCATACGCCCGTGGGTATCTCACTTCCCAGAAGTGACAGGAGAGATGAGGTGGCCTATTTCTATCCCTACCTCCTTCTGGGGGACAATAAGGGAGTGTGCATGAATTACAAGCCACCCCTGAGCCTCTTAAACATGACATCGAACTGCTGACTTTGGGAGCAAGGCTCAAAGGCAGTCCTTCACCCTGGGCCAGGGACGGAAGTCGACACTTCTGCCAACATTCCCTCATTAAGTTAATTTGGTCATCAGTGCTGAAGACAGGCTCTGGAGGACGACAACCTAGGGAGAGGTGCTCCAGCTGAGGCAAGGGGGAAGGCAGTAAAAACAGTCACTGGCAGAACGGCGAGAGGCTGAAGAGCCACCGAAGGCCGATACTACTTACTCTGAGGGAAACAACCCTCAGAGTGACTCCTTTCTGAGAGGGAGAATCTGGGTTTGGGTCGTAGATGGCTAAAGCCCCATCAGCTCTCTGCACTGGTTTTGCCGAGTAAACGGCTGAGCAAAACTCTGCTGAGGAGGGTGTGAGACCAGATCACGTGACAAAGGCACACGAGCAGACCAAGACACAGCAATGGCTTCAGCGGCTGTGTCACTGGTGCTAAAATGTCCAGACCTGGCCCAACCTCTCCGCTCCACAGGTGGCTCTCTCTGACACCACCTCTCTCCATCCACCTACTCGGTGACACCCCCATGGGATGGCGTGCGAGCCTTCTTGCCCCCTTCCCTGTGAGACGTCTAACCTCTTATCTTTGAACTTTGCACCTTTGGGTCCTGCTCACCAGAATTTTATCAGCCATCTGCTGGATCTGTTCGGACTTTGTCTGGATGTCATCCTTCAGTCTGCTCTCTCTACGCTCCATGGTCTCTAGTCTCTTTACCTTGTTCTCCAGAGAGTGGCGGCGTTCCTGTGGGTCGTGAATCAATCAGAGAGTTTAAACCGGGCAACCGCTGTGGGCAATCCACCTGCACCGAGGGAAAGAGCCCTCGGAAAGCGGACGCTCGAGTCAGGAAGGGGAAACGCTGGGCACCTGACGCAACGGCGAAGGCGACAACTCTAGGATTCGGGTGCTCGCTCAGCTGTGCGGATTACAAGAGTGCATTCATTCATTCAAATATTTACCAAGCACCTACTATCTGCAAAGGACCACACTGGTCAGTATGTGGAGTACAGAGGAAGACAACGCACTCTGCCCTTGGAATAGAAAAGACAAACCACAAATAAACACACACAGGTTAGGAGACCCGGGTGGAGGGTGTGTGTGTGTGGGGGGGTGACCACAAATCGAAAGGTTTGGGGTGTTGTGGGACGTGATGGCAGGAAGTGGGACACTGGGCTGCATGGCTTAGGTGTGGGTGACAAAGGGATGAGCTCAGGTGAGACGCTGCAGGGTGGCTTGGAGTGAGGAGGGGGCAGGGGACAGGGTGCAGGAGGCCACTCAGACACACAACCATCGTGTGTATACAGGGGAGCTCAGGGGACACAACCTTGGTCAGAACCCAACAAGACCCCCAAGGAAACCCCAGGCTGATCGCAGCATGGGCGGGCGGGGAAGAGCGAGCGAAAACCAGTCAGCATCTGTGGGTCAGATGGCTGCCCCACAGACCTTGGGGTACGTCTAATACACAGACACCCTTAAAGATTCAGGGTGGGACCGGAGTACTGGGCACTCCATGAATCTTACACTATGTGAGTCAGGCAGGGAGAAGGAGAGATCTGGAGATGAAGAAAGCACTTTGTGGGAGGGAGAGGGGTGCAGCCCATGAGGAAGGACGCAGAAGCCGAGGGCAAGTCGGCTCATTTATATTATAGGGCTGGGTGACTCTGACAGCAGCACTCAGAGACAAGTAGACGAAGCTAGGATCTCAAGGCTGGGGCAGCCAGAAGAAGAGTGGGGGGCTGGGCTGCCATGGAGAAACTACCAAAGGAAGGCAGTTTCCAGAGACAGTATCGGGGTTACTCTGAACTTGAGAGAGACACTGTTCACACACATACTGGGGATTTCAGGACGACAGTGGGAAACGGCCAGGAATGTGTGTGAGGAGAGACTCCAGCCAGCCATGTATAGGCAGGGTCACATGCAGATGGCGGTAGGGAAGTGGGCAGACCCAGGGACAGACAAGACAGTGAAACTGAGTGTGTTACAATCTGCTGTGTGAAACAGACACAGAGGGCGGGAGGGCGGGTGGCAGAGAGGCAGAGACGGGTAGAGACGTCTCACTCCACACTACTTGTCTGCACTGTTTACACTTAACAGTGAATAGCCAGTTGTGTTTTCAGTATAGTATATAAATGATTTCAACAACAACAACAACAACAAAAGAATCTGAAGGGGACAGGACCCAGAACACGGGCCCAGAGTCACTGCCGCAGGAAATGGGCGAAGCCGAGGAGACCAGATGGGTTAGATCTGCATTGTGTTAGAAACAGCAAAAAAATGGAGAAGACACAACCTCAGAGAAAGTCCAGAGTCACCCAGATCATCGCTCCAGAGGCTGGAGGGAAACAGGCCGGAGAGCACATCCAGCAGCCATCCGTCCCCGGAGCTGGGAGAGCACCAGCTTCCAGGGTCAGACAGAGGCGAGGCTGAGGAGGCCCCACCCGCTCACCTCAGCTTCCACCAGCTTCTTTTTGATGCCCTCGGAGGAATCCTCCCGGTTGTGCAGCTTCTCCAGCTCCCTCTCAGCTCGCTCCTTTGCCTGGCGGATATTCTGCAGAAGCTCTGTCGCCTCCGTGCTGGCTTTTACAGCCTGGCCGGAGAAAGGGGACAGAACACAGGTGTCTACATGTATTTATGTGGGAGACAGAAAAGACAGAAGACAAAAAACGCCGGAGACGCCGATCACACTGGATCCACTTTTCAGGCAAGCGTTCATTCACTGCATATTTTGTGCACGGTAGGCACACTGGTTTTTAACCTCACTGAATGTGGAACTGGTCTCATAGTTACAAATGATACGCCTCCCTTTCTTGGGGTGTCTAAAAAGTCCTTTGTCTCTTCAACTTAATGATACATACAGAAGCAAACAAAGGTGCCAAGGAGCTGACCTACCCAGAGTTAACCTAGTTCCTCCTGATTGTTCTTCCTGTGGGGAATGTGAAAACAACCAAGGTAAGAAAGCACGGTGAGACAGATCTGAGATATGACCTATGACCTTTCAAAAACTGTAATGGCCTTCGCATCTGTGACAATCCACAACGCAGACAGAGGGAGAGGGGGACGAGCCCTTCATTCTTGTCATTTTTAGAACATATGAAAACACATATACAGTGTCCTCATACATAGTGCTTGACCTGAGACTTTTAACAGGTGCAGCCGGATCGCTGGTACAGGCCTGCAATGGCAGCTTCTACAAGGAGGATAATGGACTTGGGCCAGCCTGGGCTACATAGCAAGACTTTGGTAAAATAAAAGTGGAAATGACAATACGACAGTGTTTCTAAGACCCGCAACGTGCCAAGTGGGAGACAGCGGACCCGGAAATGTGACACAATACTTTTCGTGTGTGTGCTTTTAAGTTAATTTTCATTATTTCGGGTCTAGACTGTCAGTGACAAGTGGTGAGACGTTCCCAGGGATATATCATCCAGCCACGTGGACGTGCGCAGTGACATGGGGAGGGTGAAGACGGAACTGTCATACCATTGCTCTGGTGATCAGACACTTTTCAAAAGGAAGTCAAAACTGCTCTCACTAAGCCAGACAGCAAGCCTGGCACAGACGATCTGATGCAGACACCATGTCCCGTCAGGGTCCCTCCACCCCCTTGCTGGGCGAGATGTGACCGAGATGCCAGCCAGCCTGATCCTGCCACAGCTGAGTCCATAGCCAAACGTCACTTCGTACACTCTAAGCATATGGGGTTTTACATTTTTATTTATTTGTACTTTATGTGCACTCGTGTTTTGCCTGCATGTATGTCTGCGGGAGGGTGCCATAGCTTACAGTTAAAGACAGTTGTGAGCTGCTAAGTGGGTGCTGGGAATTGAACCTGGGTCCTCTGGAAAAGCAGCCAGTGCTCTTAACTGCTGAGCCAACTCTCCAGCCCCAAATATATGTTTGGTTTTTTGGTTTTTTTTTCCCAATTATTCCTTGATGAAGCTAAAGCAGGCTTGTCAGCGTTTGACAAGTGCTACGGAGGCAGGGCCAGCAGCGCAGAAACAGCCTTCGCCAACACCTCCCTCCCCCAACACGCAGCCACACCCCCAGGGAGTCCCAGAGAGGAATCTTTCATAGTCCTGATAGAGAACAAACCAAACTCCCCCTACAAACATGCAAAGTGGGGAGCCTGGCTTCCTGAGGCACTAGAAGCCACCTTTGGGTTTCTGTCCCAGAGTCTCACACAAGTTTGGTTTTTAGAAACAAGCACTGCAGACAAGTGCCCAAATGAAAACTTAAACTCAGAACCCTGATATTTTTGAGGGCGCACCCTTTGTCCCTGGTGCTGGTGGCTAACCCGGCCTCTCTCTTTACTGCTCCAGGCTGAGGCAGACAGCTACGTGGAAATGGGGGGAGCCCCCAACACCCAGACTTACCTTCTCCAGCTTCTCCTGGAGCTCCTGGATCTTTAGCTGCTGTTCAGCATTGATCTAGATAAAATTAAAGCCGGGAGAGAAAACAGACGGCCGTCAGTACTGGGGGAGCACCTGTGGGAGCACCTGTTTCCTCCAGGGTTCTGTGGAGCCTCTGGGGCTTGTTTTCTAGAATTTACTAGCACAGAAAGGACATTCACCTGTCAGAGAAGCATGGGCCTGTCCTGAGGCAAACTGTGGTATCGACTATTTCTGTGCAACTGCCAACATATATCAACACAATAAAAATTTTACCAAGTGCCTTGGCTTATGTGTTATTGTGAGGAAGTAGGGCCATATATATGTGAATAAGTGTGTGTGTGTGTGTGTAAAATATATTAAAATTGGCACTGAAATCCCAGCACTTAGGTGATGGAATCAGAAGGAGCAGTATAGGTCAGACTCTATAAACTATACAGTGAGCATGGGACTAGCCTGGGCTACATGAAACACTTTAAACAAACAAACAAATAAACAAAAAACCAAAAAAAAACAACTAACCAAACAAAAACAAAAACAAATTCTGTCTTCTCTTTTAGAACCACAGCTAAAAGTTGACATAGTCACCCAAAAGCCATTACATTGTAGGGGCACGTTCAGCATAGTACATACTTGTATTCACTCCCCCTCACCAAAATCAAATAAAATACGAAAAAAGCATTCTTATGTGGGAAGCAGTCGCTAACATTACAACTATTTCCAGATACAAACTGTTGCAGATAGTAAGCCCATCACAGAAGACACACCTTCTCCAGTTTGGAATATTCTCCTACTTCAGGTTTCCCTTGGTCCTTAGCCTGTAGGTAAAAAGATAAAGTGTTGAGAAATCTCAACAACTCACTGTCACTAGCTGGTGTACTTCCTTGGCCTCTGAGACCAAAACCACAACAAACAAAAATAATGGTATCATTTATAAATCAAGACAGGGCGTTTTCTAAAGAATCTCATTGTTGTCTCCAACCTACACTCGTGAAGCCAGCGTGGCCTTGCATCTTGTGAAGATCATACGGGGCCGTGCCCCCAAAGCCCCCTCTTGGAGGGAGGCTGACTACCTTCATCAGTTTGTGCTGACATTCGTTTGCCTTCCGCTTGAATTCCTCGGCGGCGAGCCGAGACTCCCTCAGCTCGGACTCGTAGAGATCGCTGCGTCTGCGGGCTGACACCAGGTCCTCTTCCAGCTGGTTCATCATCAGCCTCATCTCCTCCACCTGAGCCTGGTACTCCTGAAGGCAGGCAGAGGACGGGAGGTGAGCCGTGGACCTCCACCGCAAGAGGAGATCAACCACGGAGGAACTCAACAAAGGACAAAGACAACTGTCTCTAGATGGACTCAAACAATCTGGAGAGAGGCAAGCCAGAGGGGTGTTGGGGCGCAGAGGAGGGGGAAAAAAAAAGAATATTAAATTGCTTGAATGCAGAACACGTGTCTGGAGTAGCCCCACCGGGAACATGTGTGCTGAATCAGACATTCTGAGCAAATGGCCACACGGATTCAGAAAAGCCCTGGGGACGAGCCGACGCACAGACAGGGCTGTTCTCTGAATGAAGACACACTGCTCCTGTGAGGTTCTCCTCCAAGGGAAGGAGGCCGCTTCTGTTGATTTGTCCTTCGGGCGCCACGTGCTCCTCACACAATTAGACATGGTACCAGCTTTGGAATTAACCTTCCAGTCGGAACCAGAGGGTGACTGGCGGCCGCAGGGGGAACCCCTGGGAAGGAGAACCTCAGCGGTGTCAGTTTCTCACCGTTCAAAACGCAAGGTTGAGCTTAGTGCCACTCCCGCAATGCAAGTCACCCTGAAATCTGGAGGAGTCACAAAACCCTGGACCTCAACAAAGTAACTTGCGGGGGCGGGGGGATGTTTTCCCCCAAGAAAAATTATCTTGTTCCCTAAAACAAAAAGCCTCAAAATGATCCAAACAGTCCGATGTTTCCCAAAGTGAATTTTAACACCAAATGAGAACATCTGAATCAAAGGCTTCCTTCCCACCCCCTAACCACCCACACACAACGAAACAGGCAACGGCCTTGAGAACTTCAGAACCAAGTATAGAAATACTCTTCAACAGAAAGCTCAAGGCTGAGGAGGAGACCATGAGGCCTGCCTAATATGGCAGGCGGGTCAAACGCGAGGACGGGGATTCAGCAGACACCGTCTTTGACGTCCATAACTTTCACAACACTGACATCTTGGAGGTGAAGTGTCAACTGAGACATGATGCTGGCCGGTCCTTTCTAAGTTGGTATTTTGCAACTTACAGCTTTGGTTATTTTGCTCTTGTAAATGAGGCCCCTCTCTTGCATGTGCTAGGTTAAGTTAGTGTTCTACCACTGAACTATAATCCCACCCGTTTATGACAGCACTGTCTCTCTCCACCTCCGTCTCTGTCTGTCTGTCTCTCTCCCCCCTCTGTGTGTGTGTGATATGCATGTGCCACAGAACACAAGTAAAGATCAGAGACCAGTTGGTCAGTTATTGCTCCCACCGCATGGGTGCTGGGGTCGTCCTTGTGTGGTGAGTGCTTTTCACCTGCTGAGCCATCTGGCCCAGTGCAGCATATCCTTCTGTGGTAGTGGGGTGTTCAGTACCTGTTGGATCTCACTGCAGCAGACCCTCACCTAGCAAGCACCAGGGAGGGGACATTAAAAAACCCACACGGAGTTCAGATTCCAACACTCACCCTACAGGGGAAGGCATGAGCCAGAGAGGGGGCATGGATGTCAAATGTCAGGACTTCAGTCACCTGACTGGGGACACATGCCATAGTGAGATGGCAGAGCCTTCTCATGGGGTTCTTTGAGGTCCCCTTATCCAGGGATACCCTGTGACTTTCGTGACTCTTAGAACTGGGACTGCCTTTGACCCTTTCATCCATTAGAAAGAAAAGAGATAGGAGGAGGAGGAGGAGCCTAGTGGACTGACAAGCACCCGACCAGGAGTTCAAAGGTCATCCTAAGATACATAGCAAGCTCGAAGCCAGCACAGGCTGTATGAGAGAGACCCTGTCTCAAAAACACCAAAAGAAGACATATTTACATATATGTAAATACACATACATAAAAATACATTACAGGCCGGGCTGTGGTGGCACATGCCTTTAATCCCAGCACTTGGGAGGCAGAGGCAGACGGATTTCTGAGTTCAAGGCCAGCCTGGTCTACAGAATGAGTTCCAGGACAGCCAGGACTACACAGAGAAACCTTGTCTCGAAAAACCAAAAAAGAAAAAAAAATACATTACAAATATACAATCACACAGTCATATATTTTATATTATTATACTTTAACACTACATTCATAAAGTGTTAAAATGTTAACATTATCTATAAAAGCAATACTTGTGACCTATAAGCTCAATATTTTTAATTTAAGGGAAAAAAATTGGAATCTGAGCACCTGGGAGACTGAGGCAGGAGGAATCCAAACTGAAGGCCAGACTGGGCACATACTAGTGAAGATTAGAATATTCAAATACCACTCCAGATTATTGATACATATTGGAAATACCATTATTGTGCCACCATAAAAGTACAGTGGTCCCTTATTCCTCCCCTCAACCCCCTAGTCTGTTATGCTGAGGGTAAAAGGAAGCCTGCCAGCAGACACAGCCCCATCAAACTGCAAAGGTAGCAAAGACCCAGAAGATCTTGTGCACCTTTTGGACTCAAACTCACCCTTTAAAAAAACTGGACAAGAATTATGCGTGTCCGTGTGCATGCTTGTGTGCGTGTGCCTGTCTATCTGCCTGTCTGCCTGTCTGTCTGAACCATGCTGTGGCCTGTGTAGGACTGAGGACTCTCCTTCCATCCTGTGGGTCTCAGGGACCAAGCTCAGGTATTCATGCTGTAAGGCAAGCACCTTTATCCAGCTCCCTTTTTCTTCTTAAACTTCTAAAGAAAATATAACTATTGTGGGGTTTTTTGGTCCTTTTTTTTTTTCTTTCTTCTTCTTCAGAGCAAGGACAAAAGCAACTGTGTAGTGAGAATTTTGGTTTCTTTAAAAACCCAGTTATGTTATGCAAATATGTTTTTATTTTAATCCCAGGTGTAGGATAAGAGGCTGCTTCATAGCAGGTGATTATGATTTGTCTCGTGCTCTACCAGGGGTGTGGCTGTGCCAGCTGCAGATTGTTTCTGTGAGTGCGTGGCACTTGGAATTCTGGGAACTTTTGAGAAAGTATAAATTCGAGAGCCCTGTGAGGCGCCCCGGCTTGCTCCTGCTGCTGCAGTTTGTCAAGTGTCGTCAGCAAAGAGACAACAAGACTTCGGATAGCCTATGAAGACTGGACTTGGTCCAAGGAACTTGAAGCCCCTGATCAGCAGGACATAGTCTATGCCCCCTTCCCCCCCCCCAACCTTCTTTCTTTCCTGCTTAGTGTTGGGGGGTTGGAAGGGGTAGGGGTGGAATAGGAGCTGAAGCGGAGGCAGAGATGTAAGAACCCGATACAGCAGTCCAATAGTCTGCCCACACACCTGACCCCAGTCCCTACCCTGCTGTCTGTTTCCTGAGCTCCCTGCACTGGAGGGAAAGGAGGCATCTGCATCATCCCCTCTGCTCCTGGAGTCCTGGTTCAACTGATACAGGTGGCAGAAGAACCCTCTCACCAGCCAGTCTGCCGTTAGTTAGGATGGAGACTAAGGAAACCCCATAAAGCCAACAGCTCAGCAAATCCCTGCTTTGGGAGGAAGCTGAGAACAGACCAGGAGGTCTGTTTGCAAAGGCAGCTGTGGCTCAGCATGGAATGGCTCACAGAACTGAGCTGAAGGGTCAGAACTGAGAAACGGACAGCCCACCTCAGTGACTGTGTGGGGATGGTCCTACTCCCCGGAAGTCCTGGGAGCTCCAATGACTTTTGAAAACTGTTGCTCTGTTTTGTGATTTTTGGAGTCAAACCATGAGGGGGCCCTGCTAGGCATGCTCCATAAGACATAACTGGGTAAAATCAGGATTAAGAACAAAAATGAGCAGGTGTCCAAAAAGACTGAGTTCTGAAAGAAAAATCTGGGGGTTCATCCTAAATCTGTGAGACATCAATGCACCAAAAACTAAATATTATGAGTTTGCTGGAAGCGTTATATGCATTCTGTGTCTACAAACAGTGGGCACCTTAAAAAAGAAAAAGAAAAAACGCACCATTTAAAACACATCCTCCTTTGAAGAGAAGTAAAATCCAGAACCGAAAAGTTTTCTCTGGCCCCCATTGGAACTTTTGGCAGTCATTAAATCTGAAACTCCACATGCACACTGGCTGTGACATGAGTCACCAAAGACAGCTCTTTGAACTCAACCGCCAGAGCTCAGAGCTTTGCAAAAATGTCCTGATTAATTCTTCCTGTGGAACTCATGAACACCCTCTGGTGGCCAAAGGCAGCTTTCATTTCCCCCAGGATATCCCCTAAATTAATTTCTAAACACAAAAGAACTGACGGGAGATGAAGAACCCTACCTCCTGCAACCTTCAGGATGGAGAGGGAGAAAAGCTGATGTTGATAAAGCTGTCTGAGTCACCTGTCAGAAGTCTCGGAGCACGCGTGTGCCCTTCAGAGCCTCAGAGGGGGACCGGGCCAGGACTTGATGACCCATTTGCAAAGTTCCCTGTGCGCATTTATTTATAATGTTCTCACACAGCAGGAAGCTTGTCAACCCATCACTTAAAACATACCGAGGTGACAAGGAGGGTCGGCATCCCACGCACCCGGGTGGGGCCGTCCGCAGTTGCGCCCCCCATCCCCCGCTCCCGCCCGGGTGGCTGAGCCGTGGATCCCAGAGGCTCACTTCCATCGGTGTCCCATTAGGTTTCCTGAAGTGAATGAGTTGCCTGGCAGCTGATAACTCAGTCTCTTACTCATTTCCAGCCCTTCATTAAAGTTTCTATTTACAGCATCTTCAGAAGACAGTTTAAAAAAAAAAAAAAAAAACACCCAAGCTAAAATGAAAACAATGAGATATAAAAATGAGCCGGAGAAAACCCGTTCAGAAAGAGAGCCGGAGAGGAGCGGGCTGTTTAAAGGTCGCTGTTCTCCTGAAACCCGGGACGGCGGCGCATGCTCAAACTGCTCTGCTCGCAGTGGCTCGGAGTTTTCTTTTAGGACTTTTTTTTTTTTTTTATATAGATATGTAAGTGAAACTATGAATGATCTTGGTCTCTCTTGACAACCAAAAGTGAATCAGAAAAGCTATTTAAAAATACTGAGTTCCTTTGGAACCATTAAAGCAGGGTTTGGTAAACTTTCGTCAAAAAGTTAGCTTTAGCTTTATAGCCACACACTCTGAAAACAGGGCTTTTTTTTTTTTTTTTTTGCCTCTGTAGCACAAAAGCCACCATAAAGGAAATTAGTATGGTTGTGTTCCAATAAACTTTTTTTAATAATTCTTTTTTTTTTTTTTTTTTTTTTTTGGTTTTGAGACAGGGTTCCTCTGTGTATCCCTGGGCTGTCCTGGAACTCACTCTGTAGACCAGGCTGGCCTCAGAAACTTCAGAAATCCGCCTGCCTCTGCCTCCCAAGTGCTGGGATTAAAGGCATGCGCCATCACCGCCCAGCTCCAATAAACTTTTATGTAAACTTAAATTTTATAAAATTATAAAATCTCTCTCTCTCTCTCTCTCTCTCTCTCTCTGTCTCTCTCACTCTCTCTCTGTGTGTGTGTGTGTGAGTGTGAGTGTGTGTGTGCTTCTCTAATCATTTAAGAATACAGAAGTCACACTTGGCATGGGACATAGGAATAGGCACAGAAAATAGGAAGGGGGCCATGGCGATCCACCCCTAGGCTGAAGTTTGTCCACTAGGGTTCTCTATTAGACACAGTAGATATTGTGAGTTGCAGCCTTCAGTAGGAGCAGGCAAACAAGCTGGTGTGGTTCATATAAATCATGGAGAAGCTACAGGCTCCATGTGACCTGTCTGTGTATCCCACTCCCTGTGTCCAACCTTATGCCGGCAGACTTTGCCTCTCAGACCTGCCTGAGAGCTGTGGTTAGAGGCGGCTGGGGGGGGGGGGGCTGGCGGCACATGGATCGGAGGGAGCGGCCATACCTGCTCCTTGATCTCCTGGAGCTTCCGGCTCTGCTCTCTGATGTCGTGGAGGAGCTGCAGAGCTTTGTCATCCTCCTGGGATACCTCCATCCGTGCTTGCTCCAAACTTCGCTTTAAGCTCTGCGGAAAGCAAAGATTTTAATCGGGATGCCCCGCGGATCCTGTTCTGGTTGAAAAGTTTCATTAGGAGAGCTTCACGGACACCGGGATGGTCTCGGGTGATGGGCCACGGTAGACAACTCGGTTGCCGGTTCCAGTTTTCACCCTGTGAAAGCTACTTGGTGGAAGAAATGTCAACGCAAGCTCGCAACCTTACGGGGGCGGAGCCTGAAACTCTATCAGCTATCCAGCTGGCACCGGATACTTATCCTGTCATCTATTTGCTTATGTGATGTTCAGGACTGAAAACCAGTAAGATCCTGTGCCGGTTAGAACCTCTACCTCCCTGACTATCTAGTGTATTCTAGGACATGATTCTCAGGTGCATACGCCTGTCTCAAAGAAGCAACAGCTTCACGGTCTACCTGGCTGTCACTTCAGAGTCCAGTTAGGTACTGGCTGGCCTCCTGACCTGCTTCCTAGACACCTATGATCCATCAGTTCCCCCACCCCGCCCCCGCTCCCCCAGGCTTCTGTGGCATGGAGAGAGACATCTGAAATACACAGCTGTAAACTTCACCCACCACTGAAAGGCAGCCAAGTCTGGAAGGCAAACATAGCGGTTATTCTTAATCAGTCACAGTCTATAGATTTTCTCTCCCTCGTGAGAAGAGAAAAAAAAGAGAAGAAACCCTTATAAACGTGTGATTCAACCTCTTACGACTGTTTCACTGGGCACCGTAGAGAACACCTGAATGAAGACTTCCACAAGACAATGAAGGAGGAGACAGTCTACTCTTGTGAAGGAAGGGGGAAAAAATGGAGTCGTAATGGAGGTAATGAGAGCTTGGGTCTCAGAGGCCGAGGCTCCTGGGCTACAGTGCTTCTACGGGAATAAAAATTCATTCCGGAGAGATCCCAACTATGTTTTCTGATACGAATTTGGGGGCTTAGTCCTCAAAGCTGATTGTCTCAGACACAGCCTAGACCAGAGAGGTTGGGACAGACGTCAGGACCCTCTGCAGAAGGCTGCAGTGACCCTTGATTCCCGTCTCTGGGATTGGAGAAGCTCACAGCCCGCACTGGCTGTCTGCTGAGCATCATTTCCAGCCTGACTCCTAGGGGGCCTCACACCTCGCTCGCTCCTGCTAACTCTGCCTCGTGCTAACTCTGCCGGCTGTTCTGCCAGAGCTCGCCTTTCCACTCGGTGTCTCTCTACTCTCTGCTATTGGCTGTGACGTGCGTCACGGAGCTGTCATGAAACAGGATGAGACACACACGACAGAAAGTGCCGCCTCCGAGGGAAGGGGGCTTTGGGGAAGGCTCACACTGCATTCTGTGATGTAGGTGGCAAGGTCCTGCTCCAGGAGGGATCTCTGAGTCTCAGAGGCCTTCAGTTCCACCTCCTTCTGACTAAGCACAGCCTCCACCTCTGACACTCTGCGATGTAACCGGGTCATTTCCTGCTCCATCTGAAATAAACACATGCACAGGTTAAAAGGGACCCCGGGGGAGGGGGGGTGTTGGAGGGGTTGTGTGGCAGGGGCAGTCACTTTTCAAGCGGGGGACCCCTAAGCCACCTGGTGGCCTGGGGAACGGTTACCGCTAATTCGCCAAGAGCTGGGGTGTAAATACCATTGCTTCTTCGCCCAGGAGCATACAGTTCTTCAAAAAGACAGTCACCAAAGGCTAGGTCAGTCCTGTCATCCAAGTCCTGCTTCGCAAGGTCACTTCTCTAACCCACTTAGCACAGAAGCCACCGGCATCGTGAGTCACCTGTTTGCCTTGCCTCTGTTTTTTTTTTTTTTTTTTGTATTGGTCTGGCTTATTCAGATGTCAGTTTAAGTTTATCCTAAATCCATCTTGGTCCCCCCCATCTCCTTGCAAAGACCTAGAGGGCAGATCCGGACCCGGCCGAGAGGGGCTTATCCGTCTGTACTCTCGGGCGTCCCACAGAAGCAGTGGTCTCTTATTAGGTTCTCAGAGAGTTGCCTCTGGGCAGGAACAGTGAGTGTTAAGAGCCGTGCGCATAAAGGACTGGGAAGACACACTTCGCCTCACTCCGAACAGATGGGACGCGTCTCAGCCCCAGGTGAGGACCCAGGCCGCCAGCCAGAAGAAGCGGACATCGGGCTGGGTCATGCTGAGAAACGGGGCCTCCTCAGATTAAGATTTAAAGGATTTATGGCAATGTCTGGGCCCGAATTCATCTCCCTCTGAGCTGCTGGAGGTGCGGCTTCAGCGAGGGAGGTGCCACCTCGCTCGCTCGCTCTCGAGGCTCAGTGCCAGCAGCGGCCCCCGGCAGATCCCTTGACATAGACTGGCGGAAGGATCCTGGAGCAAAGATGGAGGCCGGCTGCGGAGATAAATACCTTGTGACACTTGTCCTGAGAGTCTTGCAGCTCTTTGCTTTTGATGAGAAGTTTCTTTTCCATGGAGCTAATCTTGGCAGGGGAGTCCAGACCCGACACAACAGACCTAAACATAAAAATAATGATTAAAAGAAAGTCATGTGGTCTGTATGTCCCGAGCTGTGTTAGAACCAGCAGTGCAAATGAGAGACCCGCCTGCTTCCTGCGGCTCGGCTGGCTCCAGCATCTTCTAGAGGCACTAAACCTACAGGGCAGATTCAAGGGTACCCGGGGCCAGAACTGGCTTCTTGGAGACTTGGTCTGCATAGCTGTCTAGCAGTGGGACAGTGAGACAATAACCTGCCACACACAGAAGTGTGAGCATGCCATGCACAGCCAAGCCTGGCTCGTTGACACACTCAACAGGTATGGGCCCAACACTCACTAGGAGCCGCTGTGCACGGCAGAGCTGATAGTCTAGGGAAGATCCCGAAAAGCTTACGGATGAGAGAGGATTCCTGAGGGGAAAGGGGGATGGGACCTGATACCGTGGTGGCACCTGGGAAGTCACACTTCAGGTGGCCTTTGAGACCTGAAGACCGAGAAGGTTCTAGGGACACAAGATCGAGGAGGAAGGATACGCTGGGCACACTGGCCCTGAGGCAGGGCAGACAGGACTGAGTAGTTTTAGTAACACCACACTGTAAAGTTCTCTGTCGCTCCCCAGAGCTTGTCCGTTCTGTTCAGTTTGGCTTTCTGTAACCAGCTCAAGCTTACGGTTGTAGGCCAAAGGATATTCTCATTCCCTTCCCAGAGATGCAGCTGGCCAATCCAGAAGTTACACAGACCTTACTTCACAGTGAACAGACTCTGTCCTTGTGGTTAGGTTAATGATCTTGAAATGCAGAGAATATCCTAAATGACCTGAACAGGTCCAGTGTATCCATAAAGGCCCTAGTGGGGGACAGAGGCCAAACACGGAGGCAGGGTACAGCGTCAGAGATAGAAGTACGCTGCATGACTGGCTTAGAAGACGCAGAGTCAGGCTGAGAGGGATGGCTCAGGGGTTGAGCCTAGGGAGCCACCAAGCAAGACATCCATCTCAAACCACAGAGAAAGCAAGGACCAACACTAAGGGTGGTCTGTCCCCTGACAAAGGTGCCACGAAGCCTGTACACACATGTGCATGTACATGTGCACACACACACACACACCACAGACATACACAAACATGGTGAACCACCAGTCCCAGCTCACAAACAGGTGACCTCTAGGAGCTGGACAAGGCACGGAGGCTGCTTCTCCTCAAAGCCTGCAGGCAGAGCACAGCCTCATCTCAGCTGACTCCAGCCTAGAGAAACCCACTGGGACCCCTGGCCCCAGAAATACAAGATAGTGGGCGTGTGTTCTTTTGCGCTTTCAGTTTGTGGTGACTTGTCAAAGTGCCAATGTGAGACCTGTCTGCTCTCTGAGCTCTGGGACACGCCTGGTTCTACCTGAACACCAGACACGCTTCAATCCTTTACCCGTCACACCTGAGGCAGGTGCGCTTTATTATCCTCACGTTACACAGGAGGAAAGTGACGCCTGGTGAGGTGAAGGAACCTGCTGGCTGAGAGACAGTTTCTGTTCGTCCATAGGAAGCAGGCAACTAAGAATGGCGGGATTCACCCGATGCCATGCTCAGGAAACATCACAAACATTTCATGGCAAGCTATCCAGGGAGTATCCTGGAAGGGTGCTCGCACACATACATAGGTGCCCTGTGGGTTAGCTATGGGCATAGGTGAGAATCTAGTGTTCCTCCCTCAGTGGTGGGTGAGGGACAAAGTCTTGTCAACAGCAAGCAAAGGTTCCAAAGCACGGAGGGACGTGGCGGTGGCCACTGCTGCCCCGAGGTCCGTCTTTGTTGCCTTGGTAACAGGGCTGCAGGAGCTGGTTACTGATGAGCACTCAGGGTCTTCCCAGCAGGTTCAAGTTCTGTTTCTGCTGCCCCAGACTACTTCCCAGCCTAAAAGAGGTCAGCCTCCTGCAGCAACACCAGACACCTGACTGACTTGCTGACAGCTTTCTCTACACTCAACAGCAGCCAAGTAAATCAGCGATTGGAGTCAGGCTGCTCTGTGTACAACCTAGCCTGTCACTAACAGGCTGTGTGACCTCCGAGCCTCAGGCTCCTCGCCTGTAAAATGGGTATAACGAGAGAGCATACGCAGAGAGAGCCCTAAGCACATCCCCGGCACATTGAGGGTTTGACAAATGCCAGCCATTACTATGATGGTTGCCATTTTTATTAAGATCCCTGCAACTTTGCAAATAGCACATGCCTCACAGGCCTAAAACAGTTGCTTGAAATGGTAACACTCAGGGGGCTGACTGTGCTGTGCGCTGTTATTCACATCAAGACAAACAGTGATTATTCATAGAAATGGGCAACGGGGATTAAAATCCAGAAATAAATCTTTTTTTTTTTAAACTCTCACATTGGGTTAGAAATTTTAACACTTCTCACAAGCCTACTTCCTAGCCAAAATAAAAGTGCGCCTGCGCATACACACACACACACACACACACACACACACACACACACACACACGAAGAGCCCTGCCTTCGTAGGGTTTGCTTGGGGTAGTCTTGGGTTTCCCTCTCTCCACTAGAGAGCAAGCCCCGGGCCCCCTGAGGAGACAGGGATGGTCCCTGGTCCCTCAGTGGTCCAGGGTCATCCACTGATCACACACCCACTGGACACACACCATGGATGACAGCTGAGGCCACAGTTCTTTGCACAGGCTAGCACTCTGTTAGAAAAACCACTGCACGCGCCTTGTGCTGGTGGGGAGGGGTGTGGCTCCCTTAATGACACATGGAGGCGGGGCTCCAGCAGAGCTGACAGTTGAATGTTCGCTGGTTTGAGTACAAAACAGATTGCTTATTCGCCAAAAAGGAAAGGAAGACAAAGTGTTTCTAGGTCACTGGTTAATAGGGCCCAGAAAGCCGGAGCCGAGCACCCGCAGGAGACAGCGTGCAGTCACCCCATGTCCGGCTCTTCACTCTGCTGTTTTGATGCCTGACAAATGTTCACATTTAAGAGTTCTAACTACGGCAATTAAGAGCTCTTCAGACTAAATATGCTAAAGAAACCTTTTTTTTTTAAAGAATAAATAAAAATCACATCTAAAAAAAGGGTCTGGAGGGAACACTGGGACTAAAGTCAACCTGCAGCAACAACTGCACAAACAGTAGGAGGGAGCGGAGGGCGAAGGCCACCGCCGCTCTGGGAACTTCCTTTAACAATGGGAGGGGGTGGAGGGCAGAGTCACCTCGGCTCTAGGCAACTTCCTGTCCCTCAGTCCAGGTGAACTGTTGCAACCAAAGCATCACCAGGAGATGGAACTGTTGCAACCAAAGCTGGGGACGGGCTCACCCTGACCGATGCTGTCTGCTCGGGGACCGAGGGCTTGGCCCAACAGGGCCTTCTCCATTAGACTCCATAATGATTCCAATGGATAGTCGGGATGGAAAACCGGGGTGCTCATTAGAAGGCGGTGCTTGTGGTTTCAAGTCAAGGCTTTCAACATGCGTGGCCAACCTCCATGTTAGCTCCCAGGTGGCACTTTGGCCACGTCCTGTGAGGCCAGCAGACTGTGGTCACTCTTTAGTGGGACCTCACTTTGGTCTGAACTTCAGGACAAATACAAGTGTCACGCAGTAACTGAGCAGAGTGTTCTCTATCGTTTAATGTTTACGGCTTTATTTACGCAGTGGACGCATGCGTGTATGTACCGCGATGCACACCTGTGACACCGGACAACTTTAGGGGGCTGTTTTTTCCTTCCAATGATCCGACCACTCAGACACTTCACAGCCGAGCCATGACACCTGCTCTTTTCTGCTGTTTGGAGACAGGGTGCGCTAAGTAGCGTCGGCTGAATGCCAGCACGCGATCCCCTATTTCAGCCTCCAAATGTTGGGATTATAGGCATCTGCCGTGATGCCCCCATAAGTTAATTTAACTATATTATCTCCATGGATTTCATTAAAAAAAAAAAAAAAGGCAGTAAAGCCAGACATAGCTCAGGATACTTACAAGAGATTGATCTTCAGTACAAGTAGGCAACCAACTCATAGTACCAATGACAAGCTCCAATAGAAATTTTTTTTTTTAATATTTAAAACTTTATGCCCATGAGTGTTGTGTTTTGCCTGAGACTGTATGTTCACCCAAGTACATAAAGAAGCCTGAAGAGGCCAGAAGAGAGCATCAGATCTCCTGGAACTGGAGCTAGAAGCGGTTGTAAGCACCATGTGGGTGTTGGAAACCAAATCTGGGTCCTTTCTAAGAGCAGCAAGGGCTCTTAACCACGGAGCCATCTCTCCAGTCCCCACATACACACTCCTTAATGGAGATCCGCATGCCCCAGCAAACACTCCAAAACACTTCCTCAGCTCACTTTCTCAAGGTTTATCACTAACCAGCTTCTAAAGTGGCTGATGGTGGCTTTTCCTGCTCGGGAGTGTGACCCTCAGCCGGAGGGAGAGGTCTTGTCCCCCTCACGCAGCTTCGGTTTTTCAGACATCAAGTGTCTAGTCTGCTGCAGGCATGGTGTTTATCTGAAGCTTATATTGTTGAAGGGAAGTTTAAAAAACCAAACCAAACCACTCTTCTGTGGGGTACATCATCAGAATTCTGAGGCCTTGGTGCATGCCCGTGGCCCAGAACTGCCGGAAAGTGAGGAACTAGACATATGTGCAGGAAAACATGCAACAGAAAACACATGAATAAATCTCACTTTACAAAAAAAAAAAATGGAATTCTCTCCCACAGCTCAGTGGCTCTTCCCCAGGATACATTTGGTGATATTTAGAACATTCTTTATAATCTTAGGCGTGGAGGGTGGGGCGGGGGCAGGGTGGGGGTGTGGAGGGCGGGGTGAAGGGTAGGGGTGGAGGTGCTAGTTGCACTCAGTATGAAGGAGCCAGAGACAGTGCTCAGCACTCCATATCACACAGAGGAACCTGTAGGACTTATCCAGTCCCAAATGTCATAAATGCTGGGCTGAGAAACCCCGTAGAGGAAGCCTCTATTTCTCATCTCTGTCCCAGAGGGAAAATGAACACCAGCCCTGC